TATTGCTACGGCACTGCGCAGTCCGCCAAACGTGAGGCCAAATAGCATGTTTCACGAGCATATGGTGCAATTGCGCTTCACTTCTTACACGGAAGGTCCACCTGGCGCGACATTTCGGCCGTCCAATCCTGATTTCCCGGGCGCCTCCTCGCCCCCACGCGTTGGCTGGGTGGGCTCTGTCGCGAAGGTGGATGTGGGGCGGGGGGGGGACGGACGCGGCACGCTAATCGGGGAAACGGCGCGGATCGTTACGGCCCGCACCGCTGCGTTGGTAGAGAGCTATTCAGGATGTTCAGTTATGAGCTTGCGTGTGACCAATAGCATGTCAAGTATGCGACGCCCGACTGTGTGGGCAGCGTGGGATCGTGGTGGGCGGAATGCGAGCATGCGGCAGCACCGTTGAGCTGGCTAACACCGCGCCGGGTGGCAACGACAGAGACCAAGGTATTGACGTGGTCGCTAGTGCTACGGGGGTGTATGACGTTTCCGGTTAAGTTAAGGTGCGCCTCCAGCCATCCGTCCAAGAGAGCGCTGCTCCGGAGACGGCGTCAAACAGAGGGTGCGCGGGTGGAGACTCGCCGCCAGCCGTCCAAGAGCGCTGCTCCGGAGACGGCGTCAAACAGAGGGTGCGCGGGTGGAGACTCGCCGCCAGCCGTCCAAGAGCGCTGCTCCGGAGACGGCGTCAAACAGAGGGTGCGCGGGTGGAGACTCGCCGCCAGCTGTCCAAGAGCGCTGCTCCGGAGACGGCGTCAAACAGAGGGTGCGCGGGTGGAGACTCGCCGCCAGCCGTCCAAGAGCGCTGCTCCGGAGACGGCGCCAAACAGAGGGTGCGCGGGTGGAGACTCGCCGCCAGCCGTCCAAGAGCGCTGCTCCGGAGACGGCGCCAAACAGAGGGTGCGCGGGTGGAGACTCGCCGCCAGCCGTCCAAGAGCGCTGCTCCGGAGACGGCGTCAAACAGAGGGTGCGCGGGTGGAGACTCGCCGCCAGCCGTCCAAGAGCGCTGCTCCGGAGACGGCGTCAAACAGAGGGTGCGCGGGTGGAGACTCGCCGCCAGCCGTCCAAGAGCGCTGCTCCGGAGGCGGCGTTGAACAGAAGGCGCGCGGATGGAGGCTCGCCGGAGAGGCGTGACATGCGTTCGCGGAACGCTCGGTGGCAGGAGATATCCAAGATACCACAAGGAAATCGCGAAAATGTCGCCTGGGAGCTCGGTGCCACGGCGTCCGTCAATGCTTCTGGGAATATTTCTACGCCTGAAGTATTCCACCCAATACACACAGCCGCGCTTCAGTGCGCCAACAACATAAAAACGGCTTCTCTTCTCTCCGTAAGACTTGCCGAAAGTGTTCTTCGAATTGTCATCTTTTCGGGATACGGATCTACACCCGAGCTATGCTATGGCAGAGAACGGCGTCCTGATCCACGCCGTCTCAGTCACTTGGGCGTAGAGTGGTGATCTGTCTCCAGTACCTCACGATGCACCATCAGCTCAAGTGGAGCTTATCGGTCAATTATATGGTCTGGAGGCAAAACCGAGCAAAAGGTCACCGGTCGCGTGTGAACTACCGCTTTTGCACTGTCAGCATTGCCTAGACGATGTGTACACACGTGTCGCAGCGCTGTATTTCATGCGGCTTGCGTGAGGCCCTTCAGTATGCAGTCACGTCCAGCTAACGAATATAATTTCAGAGCCGAAATCACTGACAGGGCACGCGATGCGCTCGGGCGAGGGCTCCAGACGTGTCCCGGCACCTCTTCGGCTCGACCTCCGATCGGCTGGGTCGGTGTCAGCAGGCGTCTGCTGGCAGGAAGATCTGGATGTGTGCTGTCATTTGCCTCAACTGGCTGTTCTTCGACGCCGTGCGTGCCAACATTGTACCAATTTACGTCGCTGGCGTGCTTCAGCGTTTTGAAAGTGGGTAATGATGACTTCTTCAGAGTGCTTAAGCCAGCTCAACTTGCACTGCACATCAAAAATCTGAGATTTAAGTCCTCATTCTAAACATGTGCATCTAACTTCATTGCATTGACGCTAACATTTAATATTAATTTAACATTTGCATGATAACAACGTGTTATTGTTTTGGCATTTGCATCATACCGACGCTCCTTTTATTCTGACTCTTACATAACATTAGCATATCAGTTCATTTTAACATTTACTTCACATTGCCACGTCTTTCAAGTATGTCTTGGCGTTAAGGGGCGAAGCCGCACCAAATCCCCTCACCGCGTCCCACGGGCTTAAGACGGTAGGTAGAGCGCGCGTGCGCAGTGATCTGCAGCCAAGTGCTGCCGACACAGGCGGGTCCAAGCGGTAGATGCCGTCCTTTTGATTGCTGGCAATGACGGCCACGTTGCCGGCGATGTAGTGTTATGTAACGCAATCGTCATAAACCGCTGCATTGCGCCGCCTCCCCCCCCCCCCCCTCCCACTCTCCACCCCCATCCGGACATCGTCCGAGGGGACGCAAAAATCAGCGCGGGGCACGCTGCCGCCCGTGCGGCTGAGAGGACTGGATCTGCCTCAGTGAGGGTGGTCGAGGACTGGATCTGCCTCAGTGAGGGTGGTCGCGGACTGGATCTGTCTCAGTGAGGGTGGTAGAGGACTGGATCTGTCTCAGTAAGGGTGGTCGAGGACTGGATCTGCCTCAGTAAGGGTGGTCGAGGACTGGATCTGTCTCAGTGAGGGTGGTAGAGGACGGGATCTGCCTCAGTAAGGGTGGTCGAGGACTGGATCTGTCTCAGTAAGGGTGGTCGAGGACTGGATCTGTCTCAGTGAGGGTGGTCGAGGACTGGATCTGTCTCAGTGAGGGTGGTAGAGGACTGGATCTGTCTCAGTGAGGGTGGTAGAGGACTGGATCTTCCTCAGTAAGGGTGGTAGAGGACTGGATCTGTCTCAGTGAGGGTGGTAGAGGACTGGATCTGTCTCAGTGAGGGTGGTAGAGGACTGGATCTGCCTCAGTAAGGGTGACCGGGAGGGCGCCGCCGGGGTCCGCTCACACAGCCCGAGTTGGCACCGCACGTGGGAGGTCCACTGAGGGCGTACTCCGCCGCGCTGACCGCCGCCCTCCAAGGTGGGGGTCCAGGGGTCAGGGGTCGAGCTGTCCACGAGGCTGGTCTGGCCGGGGAAGCGGGCCAGGGCTTTGTGCGATGACCTGATGACCTCAGTCAGTCAGGGAACCTCGGCATTCCAACCTACCGCCGGGCAACAAAAGGAAACGGGTGTGACTTTACACGATTAATCCGGAGGCCTTTCTTTCGAGGAACTTGGGCAGGGCTGGGGTGCACGACCCAGAAGTCGTAAAAAGAAAATGCTCCAGGCAAACGTGTCTCCGCACTTCTGGGTGCATAGCTTCGTTGGCCTTGTTACCTTCCGACATGGTAGTTTGCGTGAGGCCTTGCGCGGTTGAAACGTTTGAATGACCTGCCATTAAAATAATGGATTGCTTCGGGGTGGACGCCCATTGGGGGGCTGGGTCCAGGATCTACAGAAATGTGAGAAACACATCGTGGGAGCCAATTTTGATCCCAAAATGCCGTTGTCATGTGCTTGAGGGCTTCTCGCCGACAGGAGATGCCAAGCAACTTCGTCACGGTAAGACAATACATCACTCAGGTCAAATTAGATCAGACATGGTCAGGTCTCACAGAACCTGGACGCGGGGGTAGCCTTTGGGAGTTGTAAACAACCGATAAAATAGCGCGACGGAACCGGGTGGCAGTGCGTCCGCCTCGGACAAACCGCTGATCGCCTCGCCTGTAATCCTCCAGGCGACAGTCAGTGTGAGACAATGATGTGAAGATGTGAAGAGACAGAGATGTGAAGAGACAAGGATGTGAAGTTCCACTCCGGGTAAAAGATCTACCCCGGTGAACAAGATGGCCGCGGCCATATGGTCGGGGACAGGAACGGCATGCGGTGACAATGGATGCGGGTAGAGGCGGTGGTTGGGATGAACGCGGATGATGATCGCAGATGACCACAGATGATGATCGCAGATGATGATTGCAGATGATGCTCAAACGCAGGGTGATGAGCATCAGTAGCACCGCTGACCATTCGCGAGGGTGAAAACTCCAAAGCGTTATCTGCATGGTCGTCCTCGTCGCCGTCTTGGTCGCGTCCCTGTCGTGATCGCCCCCGGGGGAACGGGGAAGGGGAGAGGGAGGAGGGGGGGGGGGGGGGGGTAAATGGGGAGGGGCTGATGTGGTGTGTCAGGCTGGTGTCCGCATTGTCTTGGCTATGTCGAACCAGAGAAAGCACCAGGTTGTCAGTTGTCTGTCGGGGTACCGAACTTAATTGCTCCAATAGTTACCCTCAACCTTGAAGAGGCTTGGCTCTCTAACCTCTCCTAAGGCTAAAGCTATATACTCGTTGCGTCAACTTTTCAAATTAGTCTATTGTCGTGAATATGCAGAGCCTTTGATGTGTTGGCTGCCATCCAAAATCGCAAAACCTTAATCCACGTTTTGGGAAAGTTGCCCGTTAGTCAAAATGAGCATGGCCGTGAAACTGGACCATTAAGGGCTGTAGCAGGCTCCCGGCAGTACCTGGGCTCCAACTCATTTGCACGTAACGTTAATGCGCCGTGACATTATATCATTTATATCATTACTTACATTATATATATATAAGGGTTATGATAAATTATAAACCTTATAAAAGACTACCAATCGCATTTCTGTAGGTTCTTAGGTTTCTTAAAGTTCACTGCTTAAGACTGCACTAGACTTACGTGGCATTTAACGAACTTCATCGACAAAGACAACACGAAGCCCGTCAATGTTCTGCCGATCTTTGATGACTCGTTGACCGTGTACAATGAAAAGAATTCAAAGCGTTCGCGCACATCTGACTTCGCAGCTACAGATCTCACCCAGCCACCCCCTCCAGCCATCCAGACAAGTGACGCACCGTACGAGGCCCACTTTCTGGACGGCCTGGTCCGCTGAAACGGCGCCGGGGGGCCGGGTTTGAATCGCGCGCAGCAAGCGGGGGCTTAGTCATGCTCGACCAGGACAGCGACCGCGCTGGGCTTGCCGTGCTGGTCGGTGGTGGGCGCGGCGAGCTTCCCGACGTTCGCCCGCTGGCGGAGCGCGCTGAAGTGCGCGTGAGACGCACCGTCACCATGCACACGTGCGTGGCCAGTCACGTGCTCGAGTGCGTACTGGTGAGGACGTGTGACCAGGCCAGATGACGCACTGCCATCAGATGACGATCAGATGACGCACTGCCCGGTCAACATCGAACACAGACTCATGTCTGGCGTCGTGGATATGAGTCTAATCGTGGCTCGCCTGAGCGCTTACTGTCTGGGAGAGACTGTGAGGCATATGAATAGTGGTGCCCATCAACCTAGTGCAGCTTTGCGTAGAGCATACCAAAGGAAACTTGTGTTGCTCAATTTTGATTTCGCATCAGACAAGGTCACTTTGGTTTCATCGGGCGGGAGGTCGTTTCGAGTTTGATGTAATGCATCGGCTACATCTGCGCAGGCAACTGACTAGAGCGACGCAAAATGAGGAAACACATATGGTGAAGCATAGTGTGTTTGCGTGTTTTGGAATCAAGAGGTCTGACCGATCCGTGAGCACAAGTTACCTCCAGCAGCACGAATGTGAAGATCACGTGCTTTAAACCTCGCCCTAATAAGCCGTTTTCGTAATGTGGAGTGATGAGGGATCGATGCTCCCCGATGCACCTCGACGTTTTCGTTAGCCGTTTTCGTAATGTGGAGTGATGAGGGATCGATGCTCCCCGCCCCGACGTTTCCCTTAGCCGTTTTCGTAATGTGGAGTGATGAGGATCGATGCTCCCCGCCCCGACGTTTCTGTTAGCCGTTTTCGTAATGTGGAGTGATGAGGGATCTATGCTCCCCGATGCGCCCCGACGTTTCTGTTAGCCGTTTTCGTAATGTGGAGTGATGAGGGATGGATGCTCCCCGCCCCGACGTTTCCGTTAGCCGTTTTCGTAATGTGGAGGGATAAGGGATCGATGCTCTCCGCCCCGACGTTTCCGTTAGCCGTTTTCGTAATGTGGAGTGATGAGAGATCGATGCTCCCCGCCCCGACGTTTCCGTTAGCCGTTTTCGTAATGTGGAGTGATGAGGGATCGAAGCTCCCCGCCCCGACGTTTCCGTTAGCCGTTTTCGTAATGTGGATTGATGGGGATCGATGCTCTCCGCCCCGACGTATCCGTTAGCCGTTTTCGTAATGTGGAATGATGAGGGATCAAAGCTCCCCGCCCCGACATTTCCGTTAGCCGTTTTCGTAATGTGGAGTGATGAGGGATCGAAGCTCCCCGCCCCGGCGTTTCCGTTAGCCGTTTTCGTAATGTGGAGTGATGAGGGATCGATGTTCTCCGCCCCGACGTTTCCCAACTACTAACGATAGTGCCTAGTAAAAAAGACCAGTGGATCTATCTCAACAAGATGTTGCGATTAGTACTGATTTTATTTTGTTCGGTTAATAGTTGACCCTATTACGTGGGGCGAAACGCTACATTTTCCAGAAAATCGCACTTTTTCAGCTATACATCATACCGACAAGACCGTGTCTTGTGGCGACACAAAACCTGAGCAGCCGTGTCTCCCTTGTTCAATTCTGAGTGCGATGGTTCATATTTTTGTGTATTTTGGGCATATATCTATGAAATATGGCTCCGTTAACATAGCAATGTCGGCCCGCCGCGCGCGTTCTGCAGCATTGTCTGTCGTCGCCCGCTCTCGCCGGCCATAGATCGCTGCGCAGTGTTCCTCAAAAACCGCCGCTGCTCCGAGATCGGAGAGGCAACACGTTCTTTGTGTCAAAACATGGGTTATGGATGTTTCGCAGGCTACTGGAAACTTGGACGCAATTGAGCATCATGCCGCAGAGGTGTCCTCAAAAACCTTAGGGGGTTGTGGCATCGCCAACCCCCCCCCCCCCCCCCCTTCAAGGCGAGGGTTGGATGAGTGTTGTTTCTCATTGCATCCATATTGAGATGTCAAAGCTTCGTTGTGCCACTCTACAGCAAGAACACACATGGATCAGCTAAGGCGGCACCTCCAGTCTGCATTATGGGTACAGTTTAGCGTGCTGAGCCGAGCCAAGCCGAGCCGAGCCGAGTCAACCAGTCATCAGCAGAACAGTACTGTCCTTTCAAAACGCCTGTAGGGAAAACGATAAGAGGGGCTCGCAGACATTCACGAAACGTTCCAGACGAGCTCCTGGGAGTCGAGTTTCTGTACTCGCAAACCGGCCAGGCGATGCAGAAGCTGTCCCTTGACCTCGAAGATGAGGAGGAAGAAGCCGCCCTCGACGAGGAGTCGGCCACTGACGACGCAGATGACGGGGAATTCGCCGACCCGACGATAGCTGTGCATGCACGTAGGTCAATGCGTACCTAGAGGCAAACGGACACGTGCCGACGCCTCTCACCAGCAACAATGCACATGACGTGTTAGAGAATGACATGCTAAACTGACGTGGCGATGCTCGTCAGCACAGTGAGCTACCCATATCACATCTTAAAGTGCTTCGTGTAGCTAAGTCCACGTGAGGAAGCTAAGACAGTGGGATGCGGTTCCATCGATCATATCTGAAGGGATCTACTGGTGCCGTGATCTTCCTGACATACCTGTCATACGGAGAGACCTGCTGAGGCCTGTTCAGTTAAGGCCTGGCCAAAGGCTGAAACGCGGTCGCTTGTAAAAAATCGATATCCGATTACGTGATTATGGCCAATTCAAGTTCTTAACTCAAATATCGAATATCAGTCAAGTTGAATTGCGTGTTTTCTCGTGAGTTGCATGGCGTTTAACTGTTATGCAACAAGGTAAATACCTCGCGTTAATGTTGTCATGTATACATAAACGCCAACGTCACACGTATGTGTTTATTGGCAGTCTTTTTAAAAATCCTCGTCTCAAAGACGTTAATATAATGCGGCATGCATGCGATGTTTGTGTTCCCAAACATGCTGTGATCCTTCCATTGTTTAAACAGGCAAATTAACTTTTTCGCGATCAAATTTATCATAAATGCACGCAAAGAATCCATATTCATATATATATATATATATATATATATATATATACATATACATATACATGACCTGAGATAGGTCTTGTTACTGTTTTCTCTCCGGAGCTCTGGAGCGGGTGGCCCGGCGAACACCGCGGATCGAGGGACACACAGGCGGTGTGAATCGACAACGGGCAGAGCTAGTCGCGAAGGACTTTATGGTTTTAAGGAGGTTCCTCTCTCGCACCAGCTGCCACCCCTGGGCCCAAACCAGGGACGTGAACGCCGGAACGGCCCTCTGCCGACGCCTCACGCCAGTTACGATCCGTGCAAAGTTATGACGTTTGATCCGAGGTAGTTGATTTTCGTTTGTTTCGCACCACTAACCGCGGTTTGGTACAGGTCCAGACTGGGACCTGACGTGGATGGGCGTTTGACCCAGAACGGCGGGAGCGTGCTGTGTCCATATATGTGTCCTAAGTACGAGGTGTATGCTTCGTGTGTCATAGATACAGCACGTATGCTTTCTGTGTATCCGTGCATTATCATAGATGCAGCATGCATGTTCTGTGCAGCTACGTATGTTTCGATGCATATTGTACCTGCTTTTTAGTGCGGAGAGGGCCGGTGATGCCGGTAGCAAACGACACCACCCGTGCCGTGCCCGCGCCGCGCGTGATCGGCGTCAACTGTGCGGTGTCGGTATTTTCCATTCCCCTCGACACAGTCGGCGAATCACTTTCACAGTAGGCTGAAGGGGGGGGGGGGGGGGTGCACGCCGACCTCCGTTGTTTGACCTTGTCAGTGGCCAGAACATACCGCCTTATTGCTCGGATTATGAGCTCACGTCTGTGCCGCGGTGCAAATGAAGTTGGGTGCGCAAACGGCGCCTTCAGTGTGCGTTCGCAAAGGGCAGTTGTTCATCTTTGCGTGGTTTCACACGGACAGTGCACATGTGAAGAGCGGACATATCGATGATCGGGACCAAGAGCTCGGAAGGTCAACATACTGTGCACGAGTCACGAAGTCCAATGAACCTTTCACAACTACACCGCATAAAATCTGGTCTGAAATACGGTCTCACAACAGCTTATGCTGGTGCACTCTTGAACGCGTGAAACGAATCGGTCAGGCAAAATGGCGCACTTTTTCGTGTTCTACCAGAAAGCTGTAGCTACTCGGTCCTTTTAAGGACAGGTACACAGAGACTTAAGACATGCTTCACTTCGCGCCTCTGATGCTGGCATTGACACGGACTCGGACCACCGTGGTGTCTCGAATCTTTGCAAGACGAAGCTGCGCTGTTGCTGCCTGTATTGCAGGCACGAGTCGCCTTCACACGACAGGAGGTCCCACCTGCCCAAGTGCCCTTGACACATCGCTTCTTTAAACGCTATTAAAGCTTCCGTAACAGTTAGCACATCGAGAATGACCCTATCTTTCACACACAGATAAAACAGTAGTAATAGCTTTATTCCTCAGAAAAGAACCGGGAGAATGGAAAAAGTGGGTCGATACTTCAGCAACGCGCCTCTATCGAAACGATAACAGAAGTTGCTATTGCTACTGTTTCGATAAAGGCATGTTGCCCAAATATCAGCCCATCTATATCTCCATTCTCCTGGTCTCTCCGAGGAATAAGGCTATTACACTACCGTCTTACATACGTGAATAATGTCCTTCGCAAACGTACTTAACAACTTACGTCATCTGTCACACCGTTTAGAACGCTGGCGACACCCGCCGGGTGGAAAGAGCATGTCTCTAGCTCAACACCTGACCACTCGGTCCAGCGAGCAGACCCTGGCATCTGAAGCGTCCCGCACGACGCCCCTCACCGGACCGCAGCCGCGGCGGGCACCGGTCACCGGCGCCGGCCTCTGACAATGAGCGCGTACAGGGCGGACGCGCTCCGCCGGCCGGTCAGCCGTGACCCTGGTCGGACAGCCAGCGGAGCCTGCGCCGCTGCCGCCACCGACGCACGGCGGCCGGCTCGGTCGCCCGTGCTCTCTCCCTCGCTGGCGGACGTGTGCTCCGCCGGTCACGAGCTCGTAGCGATTTCCTTTTTTGTTCACCCGTCTGGCTCCTCCGTCTCGAGGGCGGCGATCCGGCGCCGGAAGAGGTTGTATCACGGCCCCGATGTACTTTTCCAGTGGAAGTCCTTCTTCCAGACCCTTGATCAGCGAGGCCAGCTTGGCCTGGAGTTGCTGTCGGTTGTCGCGCAGACTCCTGACCTCCGTCAGCTGCCGCAGCTGTGCAGCCTCGCCATGTCTGTTTGCGTCGTTGATGGCCTGAGGACAACGGAGCGGTAAAAGCGTTGTTGAACGCAGCAGCCCGCGTCTCGCTGTCTGCAGTCGGTACTCGTGCGCGCGATATAAGCTCTCTCTCACACACACACACACACACACACACACACACGCACGCACGCACGCACGCACGCACGCACGCACGCACGCACGCACGCACGCACGCACGCACACGCACACGCACACGCACACACACACGCACACGCACGCACACGCACACACGCACACGCACACGCACACGCACACGCACACGCGCACACACACACGACGCTGGCACTTACAAGGTTGGTTTTCTCCACGAAGAGCCAGAAGTTGGGATGCGCCGACGAAAATTTGCTCGCCAATGCCGCCACAACGTCCTTGGCGTAGTCGCTAACGCGGCGGGGCTGGCCGTGGACACAGAGCCGCTCAGCCTCCAGCTGCCGCCACTCCTGCATGTAGCGCCTCAGCAGGTCCACCTGGGGCCTCAGCTCCGGCGCCGTCTGACGACAAACGTGTTCGGCTACAGCTGACGTGGGAAAAAACGCGCACTGATGCGCGCGCGACTGCTTGACCGCACAAATTTGGCCGTCGTTGACTGGTGGTCGCTGGGAGCTTTTTTACCCTTTCCGATGCCGCAAAATTAGACGTTTTGCTCGTAGACGCCAGTTGTACCGGACGGCCGGACGGCCAGACAGGACGGGTGCCCGGAGGACTGTCACCACCGGCGCCGCTCTCTCAGCGGGCCCGAGGGGCCAGACAGGACGGGTGCTCGGAGGACTGCCCACCACCGGCGCCGCTCTTGCAGCGGGCCCGAGGGGCCAGACAGGACGGGTGCTCGGAGGACCGCCACCACCGGCGCCGCTCTCTCAGCGGGCCCGAGGGGCCGGACAGGACGGGCGCCCGGAGGACCGCCACCACCGGCGCCGCTCTCTCAGCGGGCCCGAGGGGCCGGACAGGACGGGCGCCCGGAGGACCGCCACCACCGGCGCCGCTCTCTCAGCGGGCCCGAGGGGCCGGACAGGACGGGCGCCCGGAGGACCGCCACCACCGGCGCCGCTCCTGCAGCGGGCCCCAGGGGCCGGACAGGACGGGCGCCCGGAGGACTGCCACCACCGGCGCCGCTCCTGCAGCGGGCCCGAGGGGCCGGACAGGACGGGCGCCCGGAGGACTGCCGCCACCGGCGCCGCTCTCTCAGCGGGCCCGAGGGGCCGGACAGGACGGGCGCCCGGAGGACTGCCGCCACCGGCGCCGCTCTCTCAGCGGGCCCAAGGGGCCGGACAGGACGGGCGCCCGGAGGACTGCCGCCACCGGCGCCGCTCTCTCAGCGGGCCCGAGGGGCCGGACAGGACGGGCGCCCGGAGGACTGCCACCACCGGCGCCGCTCATGCAGCGGGCCCCAGGGGCCGGGCGGGGGCGGCGGCGCTCCCGTCACCGGTGACTGGGGTCGCGAGCAGGGGGTCAAGCTATACTCCGTGGAGGCTCTCCACCAATGATAATTGTGTTCCATGCTACGTCGTCACTAAAAAAGATGAGGATGGGTGCCGGTAGTGTAGTGCTTAGCGCGCCTGCGGCAACCACTACACTTATGAGGATAAATGTATCAACGTAAATTATGCAAATAAACGTGTAAAACCTGTTTTTCCATAAGCCACGAATACCTCACTTTTTATCCTCAAATATTTTCATGACTGGCGAATTCATTTCTCCGCACCGAGAAGATCAATGCTTCAAACATTCTCCGCATACTCAAATATACTCTACGTCAACAGACAACTGTCGAACAAGTCTAGCATACACCGCTATTAAACACATCATTCTCGTGAGCTCGCACGGGGTGGGCATCCACCGACCTCTGGCGCCTCCCGGTCCAGCAGCAGGGCCCACACGTCCTCCAGGCGGTCGGCAGGCACGAGCGGCACCGTCAGCAGCTCCCTCGCCCACTTCCCGAAGTCGGTAGCTGGCTGCTTGTACTCGGCCACGAGACCCACCCGTCGGATCTGTGAGAATGGAGAGCAATGCCACTAAGCGCCATCGTGCTGCGTTTGTCCTGCGGCCGGATGGCAATACGGTCGAGAAAACGAACTACAATGTGCATGCGGTCGGCGCCCCGAGAACGCCAATGGTGACGCAATTTTGGTCTTTAGGCGGCTGGGTAATCCCGCAGTTGCAGTCCGAAATCGCTTGTCCCTGATAATAGAAAATTACACCGCACATCGAGTGGGCTTCACGTCTGGGATGGTTGGGTATCTTCGTCGCCTCCTAGAGTGCATTCGATACTTAGATAACACACACAGAGCACGACAAGAATGCGGCGAAATTCCCGAACAAACTGAACACAACCATCTCATGGAAATAGTCAGCAACACTGAATGACGTTTTCACATTGTGATGTCACAATGTGTGACGATCAATGATTCCGCAGTGCGGCACTCAACAAAAAACCTTCGTACTGCGACGAAAAATGTGCGGGACCCCACCACAAAATTTCCCCTTAAACCCAGCATGTGCCATTCCCGTTTTTAACGATACAGCGCCAGCGATACGATAACCATAACGACACATTGCAACGGTACAGTCCCAGTGTCAATCACAAGACGCCACACAACTAAATAAAACAGCGCCTTCGCATCGCGCGTTTGCTTCACTCCCACATCGATCCTCCACCAGCAGGACAACGCCGTGCCTACACACCTGATCCAGCACAGCCTTGGCGTAGTGAAACCAGCCGCCGCTGACGCGCGCCTGGGGCCAGATGGTCTGCGCCGCCGCCTGCAGCCCGTCCTCCCAGCCGGCGAGAAAGGTGGCCGGCGCCAGGCGCAGCCGGCGGCCGATGGCGCCCAGCACGGCGCCGTTCAGGTGCCGCGACCGGTGCGACATGAGCACCCAGTAGGCGGGGAGGGCCCGCTCGGGAGCGGCCAGGAACACCAGCAGCAGCTGGACGAACGGCCGCGGCACGGCGCCCAGCGACGTGTCGACCTGTATCTCGACGGCCGTGCCGCGCGCCGCCTGCCACTGCGCCATCTTGACCACCGCCTGCGCCTCCAGGCCGATGGCCGCCTGCGGCAGACGTGGCGCTCAGCGGTTCACTGGTTCAGTGGCCCTATGGTTCATTGGTTCAGTGGTCCAATGTTTCATTGGTTTCGTGGTTCAGTAATTCATTGGTTCAGTGGTTCATTGGTTCCCTAGTTCACCGGTCCACCTCCGCCAGCGTTCAGTGGTAGATGAGATTAGCAGCACTCGTGTAACGCTGAGGATGAGCGTTGGATGCAGCTCAAGGACGTGCATCTCAGCTGGGCGCTGCACGCGTTCCTGTGGCACCTTTCGGGGTAAATCGACCGGGAACTCAGCAGAAAATGCACATCGCAGACCGCAAATAGCACGAACCTTAATCTGTAGGTAATCTACGGCCTAATATAAAACTTCCCATACTTAGCTCTGGAACATCGTGTTTCGCGCATGTGCGTCGTTTACAGTAAGAGCAATTCCATTTTCGTGACAAGTGTCCGAAAATATAATTACATTCCTCTTGACCCAACCAACCGGAAAACTTACGCCACTAAGTATCAGCACCCCGGCGTTAAAGTGCGGGACTCTGCTGTCTTTCTTTACATTGTTTGCGCACGCGATGACAGCCTCGAATTGCGGTCATGGCACTGACAAAGCACACGCAAATGACGTCAGAATGACGTCAGCTGTAAATGCCATCATTGCAAAGTAGTATTCACATTATTTCAAACTAACCAATATCATTTCGGCTTGAGGAGGCCGTGGGGAAGAAACGTGCCGTAAGCACACACGCACAGCTTAAAACCAATATCGCTAAGGTTTCTGAGGTGTGGCTTTTTAAAGATAACCTTGCTCGGTTAAGGGCATTTAACAATCATAAACCTGCAAGCAGTCTTACGAAACCAAAACACAGGCAACAGAGCAAAATGTTGTGAACGGGTGAACAAAATTTCAAATTAACATCTGAAACAGCTGTCGACTTGACATTTCAAGAAGACGGATGGACGCCGTATGACCAGGGTAGTCAGCGCACCTTCGAACGCACACCGTTACCAGATGGCATTCCAAAGCTCCATTCCTTTCAAACGCATGTTAAAGGGCTTGATATCCTGACTTTGTCGTGTAGAGTTAAACATGCCCATTTTGCCTCCACTTTGTTTAAACCACGGACTTTCCCACGAAACGGACGCGATGCTTACCTTTGACGATTTGTCCACATTTTCCCACGAAACGGATAATGTTTATCTTTGACGATCTGCCCACATTTTCCCACGAAACGGACAATGTTTACCATTGACGATCTGTTCACATTTTCCCACGAAACGGACATTGTTTATCTTTGACAATCTGTCCCCATTTTCCCATGAAACGGACAATGTTTACCTTTGACGATCTGTCCACATTTTCCCACGAAACGTACAATGTTTACCTTTGACGATCTGTCAACATAAGTGCCTTCCGCCCAACAAGCCGCGGGCCGAACAGCTAACTCCCAATCCTTCTCACCGTGAGGCATAAAAAGTCCCACGAAAAACAACACAAAACATCAAAACGCACCTCCTCGCCGCCGACATGGGCGTAGAAGGCGACGTGCCGCCGCGTGCTGGCATCGGTCGCCTGGAGAGCGTCCACAGCCTGCGCGGGCGTCTCGGGCGGGGGCGCGACCCGCTCCCTGCGCACGCGCGCCAGCATCTGGCGGGCCGCCGACCACGGGTGCGCCTCGCCCGCGGCACCCCGCGCTATCGCTTGGAATATGTTGTGGTTCGGCGCGTCAGGGTTCGCCCGCAGGATCTGCCGCATCGCGACCCGCGTTGCGACGCACCTGGCGGAGGTGACGGAGGCGCGTGTCCAGCGTGGGCCGAAGTCAACCCGTCACGTCGCGTTCTCAGACATCACTTCTCCTGCGCGGAGGGGTCGGTTGGGAAAAAACAACGACAAAGATTGCTTGCGATACAATGCTTGCGATGCAACAAAAGAAAAAAAGCTGTGTCGAAAACTGAGCATGTAGGATGAGGGGATTTCGTCGCGCCGAATTCCTGCTCTTCTAGGCCAGATGCGGCGGTCGTGACTACAGGAAGTGGTCCAGGGTCTAGAGGGTCTTAAGGCAATGTGAATGGATTGAAAGTAAAAATAACAATTTCAGCGTTAGTTTGACCCATTTGCACATTCTCTTAATTGCTGTGGGGTGGGGCGGGAGTGGGACAGGAATGGCCGGAGTTTAAAAGAAACATAACCTCACGAAAGCCGGCCACTGCACCCAGCGAAACAATTGCAAATCCACTTACTCGGATCGCGCACGCGTCGACCCGATCTGTTAAGGCTTCGTGGCTTCGTCCAAAACGGTCACTTTAAACGCACGCGTCGACCCGATCTGTTAAGGCTTCGTGGCTTCGTCCAAAACGGTCACTTTAAACAGTCCAAGACGGGGGGGGGGGGGGGGCTGAAGCTGACCTGTAGATCAAGCGGCAGCACGGGGTGAGAGTGCATCCGCCGTCGCAGCAGGTACGACCCCATCACCGTCGCCGTGGCCGGACACTGGAAGCCGTTGTGTCCCACGCTGTAGTAGCACCTGCGGAAACAGACAGAACGCAGCGCCATGGCACAACACTAAAATGAAACGCTACTTGCCCACACTCCATACTCGCAGCTAAAGAGCACATCTGTAAGCGGGCACCTTGCAGCATTCAAATCGCGTTCCTACCAATCTGCACCTGTGATCGGCTCGGTCAACTGTGGGACACGCAGATCGCATGGGGATCGGACCTGTCACAATAACGTAGGCGGGCAAGAGGCGCGAGGTCCACGCACAGTGCGGGCGTGCGAAGAGAGGTAGCCATTGGAGGTCATTACCACGCGTTTCCCACTGATGACATCCGCAAAGGGCCGCCGGTTCGTTTTGCTGGCCAAGATTATCAAATCCCCGCCAGACCCATCTCGTCACACTCGTGCACGCCCCGGGCCGGGGTTGGTCCGGAGCTACGCCGCCCACGCGGGGGTCGTTCACGAGGCGTGTGTTTTAACGTGAGCCTGCAGCGCCACCACCGGCAGAAAAGTGCGTGTGATGTTTTCTCTCCGCTGCGCCACGATGAGCCAGAGCTGTCTGGCCGCTGCCATCTTCACGATGTCAATGCCCAGATCGAGAGAAAATTTTGGTTTTTTGGAAAATTTTGGCGTAACCAAGGGGGAGTGGGCTGCCCACCGTAACCAGCGCATAACCAGGGAGGGCTTTAAAATGGCCAAAAGGCGGGTCGTAATTTATGGACGGCCCCCAAACTCTTAAAGCGCGGTCAATATCGCCGACTGATTAGATCGTCGCAACGGCAGTTGCCACAAGCCGCATCAGCAGTGAAATGCTCCACGCTGTACAAGCGTATTCCCAGAGTTGGCCCACCTCCAGTTCGTCGAATGGCCCATGCAAAGCTGGAGAGTCAGTCATTTGGCCGCGAAAGACGCGAAAACGTCCGAGCAAAGCCGAAGTCCATAATGGGAAACCGGATCCGGCAAAAGGCGGCCAACCTCGGATGGTTCATTCGACGACTTACTCCGCTCGTAATCACTCGTCACTTGTTTTTAAAGAGCTAACATGGAAAGAAATGCTCCGAGATTCCATAACCCACCGCCATGTGAGCAAACGAACGTTATCGCTAACCATACATTTACGCGTTAGAAGCGCATTCGCGTTTGCTGCATCAAAATCGTCCGACATGAGAGTAGCGCTCTGGGTTAAGCTTTGAAAGCTTCACGTGGCAAACTAAGCTGCTACAAGCCCGCTCGCAGTTACCACCAAGCGAACGACATCGTGCGCATAAAAAACAACCATACGTGATCTCTTTACGAAGCGGAAAAAAAACTTTACCGCGGAAAAAAACTTGTAAAACAAGCCGGTACTTACTTGAGATAGAGGCGGCCGGAGTTCCTCGGCCTGTACCTCACGAGGTACGAGTGGCCGTCCTCTGCCTGATACACACAGGTCCCGCGGCGAAACCCCTCCTCCACCGAAAACCGGAGCTTGGCTGAAGTGGAAACAAACGGACAATGATAGACAATGAAGCACATCCGCCAGCACTCCGCATATGCTTTCACAAAACATGGCGCGGGACATCATCCGAGTTCATGTTTAGGCGCTGAAACTGAAAACACTAGGCGCCTCCCACTGCGATGAGCGCAATGGCGGGACGGACCGTACCAAGCTTGCGGCATATTGGAGTTTCGCCCCCCAAATTTTGCCGTTAACCTGGAACCGCGATCGACGGTAAGGGTCAGGGCGCACACAGCAAGCACGCTTAGTGTGAGCTTCGAACCCAGAATCCATCCATCCAAACGGTTCGGATCAAACCTTAAGATTATGTCGGGGCGGACAAATGCAGCAAAAGAACGTTTATTAGCGCTTCCCAACATCTACCAAGAATGTTCGCAAAAAATTACCCCCTGTCGTATAACTTAATAGTATCTCATTATGAAGTCCTAAAGGGAGTGTTCCACCTTTGTATGGTGTTTTGAACTGCAATAGCGATATCAAAGATCATTCAGTGCAGTTCGCAGCCCTGCCTTCTCGTCACCTAAAACCGTATATTTCCTTGTCTACACGCCCGCGAAGATGGGCAGACTATTTCGGAGACATTATTTCATGGTAAGCCAGGCGTCCATGACACCATAATTACGTCATTCAAATACTGCATTCCGTTGGCCGTGCGGCGATCAAGGTCACGAAAAATATTATTGTCGAGTCACTGATGTACGGCGTTCGTGAGCACATTTTCCAGAGCGACGGGTGTGAATTGGCTCTCAATCAATGTTGTACACGGTACGATGCCGTAATCAAACAATGACGTGTGAGGGACATATTAACTAAACAGAGAAATTGTGTTCTATAGAGTAGCCTTTTCCCTCAAAAGCATACCAACAGTTAAAGTGAGCTCATCTCATCACATCTAATGCTTGCTTAAATATCTTCAAACGTTGGACATTCCCTTCAAGTCTTACTCTTATTCACTGGAGGCGTTCCGCCACGCGAAATGCCACCAGTGACTTGGCTTGCAGCCTGGGTATGGAGAAATAATGCATGTCAAGACATGCGCAGTGCAGCGAGACCGGTTCGCATCCTTTGGCACCATTTCACATAATCACCGATGTCCGCGAGCAACGAAAGGGAGACGTCTGACAGGGCCGAGAGCCATATCCGAAGTCCCTCGCGGCCTCGCACTGCGTTCGTGGCGGGCGAAGGCAGCCGTTGGTGCGGCTGGCTCCCAACATGACCGACCGACACAGCTGAGCGGGGCTCGGGCGCCCCGGCGTGACTGGGGGCTGTAACAAGGTCGTAACCCGAGGCGTAACCTGCAGTGGACCAGCCCTGGTGATAGCCCCCCCCCCGCCCCCCGCCCTCCCCCTCCTCAGCCCTTGGTATGATATGAGGAGGAGGGCTTCAGTCCCCCACCAATCATCTTCTATAAAAATCAGTTGTTGTCCACGACGGCATAATATTATTGGTAAAATGAAAACCCCATACCAGGTTGATAGGAGGGTGCGAATGTCCTGCTGCACCACCTTACAGTGCCGACACAGGTACCATCCAGCATACGTGGAAACTTGTCAGCTGAGCGACACAGCCCGAGGGGACATACAGACTGACTCAACATGATCTGTGTTCGGCTTTCACGTCAGATTGCGGTTTTCCATGCGCTGCCGAAACCTGGCGCAAACTGGTGCGGTGCGTCCGGCTTTCACGTCAGGTTGCGGGCTTTCGATGCGCTACCAAAAACTGGCGCGGTGTGTGTTCAGCTTTCATGCCAGATTGCGGCTTTTCGAAACGTTGCCAAAAAATGGCGGGTGTGTGTACAGCTTTCATATCACATTGTGGAAATTCGAAATGCCAAAGAGGTGCGGCGAAGTGTGATAAACAGACGCCGTGCCTTTACAAACAATGTTTCAATGAGTTACGTCTAGTAGGAATGCCTGTCGCCACTCCTCAGTGGCTACCGCAAACGTCCGCAACTATCACGCCACCCGTCACTGCAAGTTTAAAAGCACTCTTCACGTGAGGTGCTTCACCGCACAAAACAGCACATCTGAATCCTGGGTGTGGCGCTAAACAACAATTAGCATCAAGACGAACATAGCAAAGCAAATCCAACTTGCAATATCATACGTCACCACGTCAGCTTTGGTGAAAAAAAATTGGTGACCATAAGGTAATAACACATCGACTCGTTCAAAACGGAAACATGGCGAGCGAGTGGTTAGCGCCTTCGGCAGCCGTGTGGGGGAGCCCAGGTTCGAAACCCGGTCGCGCCGTGGCCTCAGAGCGCTAACATGGCCCGCGCAGTCTCTGGTGCTTTATAACAGGGCGCGCGGCCACATGCGTCGCTTCCTCACTCTTCAAAAAAAGGAAGATCGCCCAAATAACCCAGCACGCAGCAGGTAAGTAACGGCGAAAGCATGGATCGTTGCCCGGACCTATTGTAACCTACTATTATATTATATTATATTATATTATTGCGACCTATTATAACAATTACTATTCTGATAAATGCGTTCGGTGGTGCTCCTAATCATAATTCGCCACGAGAGTCAAATAATCGGCGTGAAAAAAACATCACCAATTTATATCCTAATATGAATGATATTTACGGCGCCAGGCTTGCACGACACTAGAAACCGTAAGTTAATGCCGCGTAGTGAGCTTGATGGTAAGTGGTGGCGCTGCCAACAACTACCACAGAAGACAGAATATCAAATAAAAGACGCTAGGCAGAAGCATATCCGCAACGATCAAAACTAATCCTCAACGAGTACGAAATGGCAAAGGGTACCAAAGCCCCGGAAAGCACATTTCCAGTCTGCTCATAAATAGCAAAGGCATCAACCACAAGTTCATATTAAAGTTTAAGGGCCCTTAAACCCATTCTCGGCATACAACCTACGAAAGTACCTCCACTATCACAACAAAACCACCCTGTTGTCAATGAGCGATTACAAATCAAAGTCTGCTTTCTATCACACCATTTTACGTTACAGCAATGTCCATGTGCCATCGAGACCCGTCCGCCATCCAGCCACTACGACAGCTGGTGGTCAGCAGCGCCGCCCGGTTATGGGCTGGGACGGAGGCAAAGCGTGATACGTTACATTCAGCTTCGTTGTCCAGCTGCGCTTTGGCGATACCTTGTGAGAAACAGGCGCAATGATACGTAACGAACGGACGCCACGTCGTCACGGCCGACGCCGTTACGAGTCACGGCTGAAAATTGCAGGGTGCGACATGCTCTATCAGCTAGTACTCAGTTTTCTTAGAAATTGTTCGACAACAACTTCTATTTTTGACACATTTGATTGTTTCAGTCGGCACAAACTTTCAGAATTTGATTATATGGGACATCACGATCGCCGATATAAGCCCAACGGTCTTCTCACCAGATTTGCTGAATGACGGGGGACTGGTATCTGCGAGCAGATCCTCGTCTAAGGCAGACAACGCCAACGGATCGGGCTGGACATCGGGAGCGTCGTCTGGAAAACAACAGTATGGACAGCTGGTTACCGAACTGCTGTAGTATTCATAGCTGGTGACCAAACTGCTGTAGTATGGACAGTTAGTGACCAAGCCGCTGTAGTGTGGACAGGTGGCAACCAAGCTGCTGTAGTATGCACAGCTGGTGACCAAACTCCTGGGTGAAGGCAACAAATACCAATACAAATACCTCTGGTCAGGCGCGGGAAAACAGCAACCACCAATTATGTACGTACATTCCAGCTTCATGCGATGGTGGTATCAACAACCAACCCAGTGAGGTGGCTTATAACCCGATACAGATATTGCGAGTTAAATATGGCCGATTATCACTTGGTTTTAATAAACTTGACATTTCCAGCATGTTCACATGATCTCCACACTGGAGGTACGAGCATGCATTCAACATGCGTGGTCGAGCGTCGGGAGCCCTTCAGGGAGTCACGTGACACAGATGTCGCCGACACCAACTGGACCAAGCCAGGCCTGAAGACGAGACACGCGACGTTTGCTGACGGAGCCAACTCATGTCTGGTGCACGTGGAATCAAGCAAGTAAACGATGTTCAGACTCCCTGCGTCATTTAGAGCCTTACTTTTTCACGAGCAAGATGCTCGTGAAAAAGTGAAGGAAGTGAACGTGAGATGCATTATTTGAGTCCTCCGTGCATAATGAAGGAATCGCCGCTACTTTTGCACATGCTTGTCCTAATGGCGTTTGCCCTACGTCGCGGGCCAAATTGTTGCTGTCTGGTCCAGCACATCTATAATGCATGGATTCCACCAGTGTCCGTGCCAAAGAAGTCAAGCGTTCAATCACAGAATCTCATCAAACTCATTTTCGGGGTGCTGTGGCGCATATCACCACAAAATCACTGCCCGGTTGACGCTAGACCCCACGAGCGGGCCTGCTGCAAGGGCAGCGGTTGGGGCTGGTGTGAAACCACAACAGGTCCCGACACACAAGCCTACTCACCATGCGAGGCGACGGGCGCCGGCCACTCATCCCTGGCGTCAGGCGGGTCCGGGTGGTCTGCAGCTGGAGCCTCCGAGCAGCCATCAGAGTCGCTCAGAGCTGCTCCTGCAATAGCAGCGCAGTCGTCCGCGTACGTGCGTGTGTTTTACATGCTGGAGGGCCGGTTTTTGAGGTCTACAGGCATGCGCGTGGACACGTCCTCGAGAATAGAGGGGCGAAGTAGAATTCAGATAAAAATTAATTGAGAATCAATGGGAGCACAGGGAGCAAGCTCACGGTACTATACGCATGTGTGTAGCCACACCTCAATTTTGATGGGACAAATCAGAATGAGGGGACAAATAAATTGAGAATCAATGCGATTACAGGGACCAAATCGAAGGGCGGGGGCCGCTCGCATCGCTCACGCGCTCGGCCAGCGGCAGCGGTAGCCTCTCGCCGTGTTGCACCAGGAAGCGCACGAAGGCCCAGACGGCTCTCGCTGGCGGTGCTTCCCTGCAGCTGAACTCATTCGTTCTGAATCGCACGCCGTAGCCTGCTATTTGTACTATCGCACGCCTCCTCGATGTCGTTTCACGGGTTTCATAACATATATTAAGTAGCGCGATTGCTTGCAACGATAGCTTCGACCTCGATGCATGCCACGACGTTAAACATGGCGCCCCGTAGCTCGTTCCATGATTGGGTCGCTGTATGATAAGCCAACCATCTACCATCAGGCTCGCTACGGACGCCAGTGAGAGCATTACGTCCAGCATCACAGTCGCGGGCATTGCATGCTTCTCAACCTATGTAGGCTGAAACAATACTCCACAACGAGTTTTTCCTGCGTTATTAAGACCATATTCGAAAAACTTTGTGACAGGTGCAATGCCTTCAACCGTAAGTACATTCACAACATTCCGTAATGTGTGAAGGGTCTATGAACGTCTGTTTCCGCGCGATAACCATGCCATCGTGGTTCCCCATGATAACGATTTGCAGCAACTTCGGAGACCTTGGTCTCGTCGTCAAAGTAGCAAGCCTAATATAACAGAAAGTGTTCACTCATGACACCTCATCAATTAGTTCCGCGGAGTTTAAGAATGAACTGCAGCGAACAGCAGCCCAACATCGGCCCACCACTCCGGCCCAGCTGCTGGCATCAGTTTAGGAAGTGACATATTAGCACTGCTGCATGAATGCCAAAACAGAAACGCCTTTACGGAATTCACGTGGGGTGCAGCAGACTGCTCTGCTGTATTGTGCAAGCACAAAGCTGTGCCACAGAGTGATGGACATAGGAGTGTTTTAAAGTATGTCTGAACTGAACAAAGGAAGTATATGAGTTGTGCATGCACACTAACTAAATGTATTACAGGTGATGATTCTGATGATGATGATGGTTGGAGTTTTGGGGTATGCCAACAACTGAGGTCATTCCGCGCCCTTATGATCTCATTTGTTAGTGCATCCTAAAACTCAAGTACTCAAGATAAAACCAGTGAGAAATGCTCATTAAAAAGATTAAGCTAACACTGTATGCATTCCAAACCTGAATGCTCATACCTGAAGGTGACAAGGTCAACGGGTCCGGCTTGATGTCCAGAGTACCATCTGTAAAGTGTGAATTAGAATCAAATTAGTTGTCTGCTTGGTCATCTTCTTCCAATCAATTGTTAGCCACCCAAAGCAGGCCTGGCAACCAAAGCAGAGTTCTCACAATTGGTTCACAAAAAGTTCTCACAATTACTTGACTCAAATGGGGCAGCGCAATTAACAGCAGAAAGGGCCATGTAAAATTGGAGAACAGTGTGACATTCATAAACAAAGAAGTAAGAAAATGCCAACTGGGAACTGAGATTGCTAGCACACCTTGGGAAGCAGACACTGCTCCATGGGGTCAATGTTGAGCATGGCCATAACATGGGGGATACAGAGACTTTGTGTAGTGGTATGTATGTATACATACTTACCACAGGCTCAAATAACCATCACATCCTAAAAACCCAATAACTATCATCCACATGCCTACACACATGCACACACATGCATGAACAAGCAAGCTTATACACAAGCATACAGCAGAAAAATCCTCACCACCTGGGAAGAATGTTTGAGTGCATTCATCTCCAGATGGACAGGGACCTTCCTCATCCTCAGCTTTCAAAGGTGGGCATGTGCCATCCATTTGTGACTGGAATAGGGCAGACCAGATTAGACACTGACCATCCCTTCCCCATTCACATTAAATAAAGCATTCCACATTGTGTAGGGTTTCAAGCTGAAATAGCCATCTTGAAGATCACCTGTAGAGGCTCACAGCCCTGCCCCTTTTAAGATTTAATACCCTCTAGTTTCTGAGACACACACTGCAAAGATTATCTGCAATTACTTTGTGCAGCTTTTCAAGGTCATGCTGGCATGCATGACACAATGATAAGGCATTCTAATTCTACCACCCTCATTGCCCATGTAGTATTCAAGGTTACATGTCAATGGGCTTTCAATATTGTGCAACCTATGCCAGCTTCAAATGCAAATAATGTTTGGTGTGATATGATACAAGAAGTCAGACATAGATACTAGTTATTACTGAAATGACAATTGTAATCAAATAACTTTAAAAATGCCAAAAACACCTCACTGGGAGTTTGAAGCACTACAAGTGAGTGTTAGGGATCTTTGCACTGCCAGTTTAGCAATGTCTCTTAAATCATGTATACATGTTTCATGACACAGTGAAACTATGATGCATTTAGGTGCATATTTTCTACAGAAGTTATATTGTCTACAGCAATCTTTTCCACTTGAGAGCACACCAATTACCAATGGTTATAAATAAGCTTATTTCATCATATCTGATGCTTGCTTCAGTACTTTCCAATGTGAAACATTACTTTTATGCTTAACAGTTCACAAAACAATACTTTTTTATTTGAATAGGCTTTATCTTTGAAATGTAGTTTTTATGACACTAAACCAATAGACAGAACTAACTTTCAGACAACACTTAAGCAGGCAATAGGAGGAACACAAGTGATGGGACAATTGATTTCATCCAAAAAGGTCACATATTTTAGCATGCATCAGCTCTGTTCAGTTTACAATAAAATGTCCATTTATAGACCTGTCATGCATCATGAAACCCACATGTTGACTGGATAAATTACAATGGATCAAAATTGCCTGCATACCCACTGCAAAATAAATAACTAATATTTTGTAAAGGGTGAAAGGCAATGTTTTAGCATCAGGTAATACATAAGTATCAGTATTTATGGTCTCTGGACCAATATTCTGCCACAGGGCCCAGGGGCCTAGTTTCACAAGGTGAGCTGGGGACGAGAGATACTGAACAGAGAATGCACTGAAAAACTATTAATCCTACTCTTGCAATTCGCCATCAAACTGGTTTCTCCCCGGCTTTGAACTCCTTTGGTCTCGAAAAGTGTAGATGTCTGGCATGCTCCACTCTTCAACGACTGGCATCAACAGCATCTTGTCATGCAATCAAAATACCCAAACCTCAAAAATGTTTCCCCCAACATCCCACCTGAAGAGCTTCAGACGTGTCGATGTTTGAATATCAGACTTTCCCACTTGTGTCCAGGACCTCCAAGCATCCGATCGGCCTGGTTAGTCAGCTGGCATGCTCGTAAAGTTGGCGATTTATTCAGCAACGAGTTCCGATTTCTCTGAAAAAGGGTCTCAAAGTCAATTATGCACGAGAACATCGAAAATAACCTTTGTTTTTCAATATTATGGGACCTTTGAGGTCAAACTCTGGGTCAAAAGGATGGGGAACTCGATATCACCCAAAAATTCCCGGCCCATTTGACAACTGCAAGCATAAAGATATTCACCAGCGCAAGAACCACCCGTCCGTCAAAAAATCCGGACCTCTCAAGGCCACCCTTCTAGGTGAAACGCGGGTTCAAAGGACGAGGAACTCCGTACCACCCAAAAATTATCGGCCGATTTGAAACTGAAAACATCAAAACATTCGCAAGCAAGAGAGCTTAGCGTCCGTCAAAGTGTCCCGGCCTCTTAAGTGACCCTTCAAGGTCAAACACGTGCTCAAAGGACGGGAAACACCACATCACCCCCCAAAACCACCCGCCGGTTTTAAACTTGCAATTGTCAGAGTATTCACCACAGAAAGAATTAGTCCGTCAAAAAGTGCTGCCCTCTCAAGGTCATCCTTCAAGGTCAGAGGTGGTGCACTTGCGCAATAGAAAGGCTTGGACCATTCTGGCATAAACTGTATGTAAGCCGTAGAGCTCGGCCGCTCGGGGTATTCCTCACCGTGGCCACCCTGGAGTAGGTTCTTGAGGACATGCCAAAGAAGGCGGGGTTCTGCGGCCCTCACGTCACGGGGGGGGGGGGGGACGATTCCTTGCCATGTTTGTTGATGACTGCCGGCAGAAAACTGACTCGTATAAAATTTGTAATTGATCTTGATTTGTTATGGGGGCGTTTTTAAAAGCGAGTGACTGTTTAAAACTGGAGAGTAACGGGTCAAGTTTGAGACCCAGATGCGCAGTGCCTGAGTCGCTCTGCGGTGATCGCTAAACGAACTCGTCCCGGGCCCGCACAGCCATACCGTGGCAAGCGGAACAAGTGTACGTTGCACTGAACCGCGATGCGTTGACTGAGCCCGCTGGTGTACTTTGGTGCCTCGCGGTGATGGCTGGCGCGAACCGCAGCCCGACCACGCGAGATCTTTACATAAAAATGGTGCATCGGCTGGGAACCCGAACCCTCTGGAGTGTCCAGTGCCTATCGCACGAGCCACTTGACCCCGGGGTCCGGCTCTTTCAAGATTCGGCGGACGATTGAAGCCCGAAATCTAAGTTAACCTCCGGCCCCTGTGTGCCCGTTGAGGCACCCCAGTACATGAACTTGGATAGGTCCGCAACGGCCTCCTGCCCGAAGGTTGCTTGATCCGGCTGCGTTTTTGTCCTCCGAGTACCTTCTGATTTTCATCTTAATTTGGTATGAGTCCTGGCGAAGTCTACTGTTCCTTTGCGTTTGGCTTACACGCGCGGAGCAGCTACTGTAGTGGGAGAGGGGGAGTTTTGCGGCCACATTAATCCTATCCAGAACTGGATAACAGTTTGATCCACAGATCAAGCGGCAGAGCAGCGTAGAAAGGAGGCGGAACAGAGATCCCTATCGCGTCTGCTCCCTGCCGGAGAGTGAACGACGGGAGTGAGCTCGCGTGTGATCTGAGGTGGTGCGCGTGCTGAGTGACAGCGGTGGTGTCGCGGGCTGGTGTGCAAACGTGTCAAGAAAGAGTTTAAAATTCGCGCTGCCGGAGGTGCGAGCTGCTCGTCAAGCAGTTTGCCCCATCGTGGGTGAGTACCCGAGGAAGTGAGAAAAGAAAGTGTTTACTGGCTGGTTCCAGCGCAGAAGATCCCCAGGAGGAAGACAGCAATTTCGGAGTCGCCCGTAAAAAGGATGATCAAAACAATTCTGAAATCGTTAGTGTGGCTGGGAAGGAGTTTCTTTAAAACCAGTTTAAATCATGATTGACCCTGATCGAACCAACTCGTTCATGGAGCAGCCATTGTACGATACGATCACATTGCGGCATGCTCGCGGCGCGCCGTCCAATAATTTGGGGGCGCCACGGGAGATACCTCCGTTTGAACTGGCTAAGGAAGGCGCTGTATTCGTTGCGGATTTCTCAGAGGCGGTCAAAAGTGTTGCCATGCTTGGACATTTGAACTGGGAGGGTGTGACGCGAGTAATGTCCATGCACCTGCGGGACTAGGCCAACGGATTGTACTGAGCTTTTCTGGCGTCGCACCAAACCGATGTAAGTGCTCCCCGTCTAGGGGCCGAGGTTCTGGTCGGAATTTAAAAAGGAAGTGAGGGACAAGTTTAAGAAGCCATTGGACCCGCTGGCAGACTTGATGCAGCTGACGGGTTGCCAGCAGGGAGGTCAGCACCTTTGAGCATCGCGTGCCTACCCTCGCACACAAAACCTGGCCTGAACTAATACAGCCTCAAAACCCAGAAACGCGTCGAATGGAATCCACCCTCATTTATCAGCATTTTCTGGCGTGGGTTAAAACCCAATTTAGACGAGCGGAGTACGTCTGAAGGGAATACATCATTTGGATGTGGCAGTGTTGGAACTGGCTTGCAATTGAAAATGAACATGAAAATGGCTTTCATGCATGCAGAGAGCTCGTCTGCAAGGCGAGCGTCTAAAGTGGCTGTCGCAGGGAGCCAGTCTGTGGACGGGGGTCACTTCCAACGTGGGCGAGGAAATACGGGAGCCAAAAGAGGCCATTTCCGCTCACGTGCCGAAACTACCGAGCCAGCATAGGCATGCGTCAGGCAGACAGAGGGTGTTGGTGGAATGGCCACTAATCCAACACGCCCACCAATCTACCACACGGCAATGAACATGGTGGCCTACCAGCCTTGGTTGCCTCAGCACTCCGTGCTCCAGTCGCCGGCTCACGCGATGTCACGGACATCCGTTCCCCGTGAAGGAAAGGGTAGTTTTAACAACGGGTCCGCACTTCCAACGTGCGTGACCCGGGCTGTCGCGGCAGTCGGGCGATTATCCCGAGGTGGGTAGTCAGCGCTTTCCCGTGCCTCGAAGCGGGGGGGGGGGGGGGGCCGGGCGCGAGGATCGCCTGCGCAGACGGTAGGCCTGGCCGCTACCTGACGCCGAGGGCGTGGGAGGGAGCGGCCGGCCCCCATAACCCGCGAGCTCGGCCAGCGGGGGCGGTGCCGCGGATGACCGCACCACAGTCGGCCGGCCCCCCATAACCCACGAGCTCGGCCAGCGGGAGCGGTGCCGCGGATGATCGCACCACAGTCGGCCGGCCCCCATAACCCGCGAGCTCGGCCGGCGGGAGCGGTGCCGCGGATGGCCGCACCACAGTCGGCCGGCCCCTATAACCCGCGAGCTCGGCCAGCGGGAGCGGTGCCGCGGATGACCGCACCACAGTCGGCCGGCCCCCATAACCCGCGAGCTCGGCCAGCGGGAACGGTGCCGCGGATGACCGCACCACAGTCGGCCGGCCCCCATAACCCTCGAGCTCGGCCAGCGGGGGCGGTGCCGCGGATGACCGCACCATAGTCAGCCAGCCCCCATAACCCGCGAGCTCGGCCAGCGGGAGCGGTGTCGCGGATGACCGCACCACAGTCGGCCGGCCCCCATAACCCGCGAGCTCGGCCAGCGGGAGCGGTGCCGTGGATGACCGTACCACAGTCGGCCGGCCCCTATAACCCACGAGCTCGGCCAGCGGGAGCGGTGTCGCGGATGACCGCACCACAGTCGGCCGGCCCCTATAACCCGCGAGCTCGGCCAGCGGGAGCGGTGCCGTGGATAACAGTACCACAGTCGGCCGGCCCCTATAACCCACGAGCTCGGCCAGCGGGAGCGGTGTCGCGGATGACCGCACCACAGTCGGCCGCCCCCTATAATCCGCGAGATCGGCCAGCGGGAGCGGTGCCGTGGATAACAGTACCACAGTCGGCCGGCCCCTATAACCCACGAGCTCGGCCAGCAGGAGCGGTGTCGCGGATGACCGCACCACAGTCGGCCGGCGCCGGACCGTGGAGCAGGCCGTTTTTAAACAAACCGTCCCATTCGGTGAGGCGTCCGGCCGGATAGCAAGCTATCACACGGCCAGGGATGACCTGAACACCGCGGTATTCGTGAAGAACATAGTGCAAGGGCAGAACGAGCTACCTCGAATCCCGGTGGAGATCGGAGGGGAAAGGCTGACTGCTCTGGGCGGATTCCGGCGCGGCCGTGACCTTGATTTCGGTTGAATCCTGGCGTAATATACCGGGGCTCTCGGACTTACAATCCTGAGAGGGCGTTCAGCTTCGCTCCGTCACGGGGAGCTCAGCACGTCACCCTCCGTCACCCGCCACGTCACGCTTGGCAGCCTGAGTCTGTTATCCGTGCCCGTGGCGCCGGGGCGTGCGCCTCAATCCAAGACATACATGTGACTGCGGATTGCCGAATGATGTTCTGTTGGGAATTGACTTCATACGAGAATCGCAAAAGGCACTGAATATGGGGGAAAATCATGTGCTTATTGCGGGTACTTGCGCGCTCTTTTCGTCCTCCAGTCGGCTTTACAAACGGCTCGCGGGAGGGTTATCTCCACAACCCAGTGCGTGTGCCAGCGCGACACGCATGTGACGTCACGGTTTGTGACGTCACGTCACGGATGCCCAGGGGAGGGTAGGCCGCCGGCTGGTGGAATTCCCTCCAATGGCGCCGGAGGATACCCCCCGTCCCCCCCCCCCCCATCCGTTGATGAGGTGCGAGGCTCGCTGGTCCAAACCAGTGAGCAAGGCCGGATGCAGGGGATACTGTCCAACCCCACCGACAAGGAAGTAGCTCTCCTTCAGGGTTACGTGCTGGGACAAAGCGCACTGTACGAGGGACAGGTGGCAACCATTGAAGTGCGAGAGGTGATCGCCGCGAACGATGGGTCACAAATATTGTGGGGATGTGGAATATTGCCGTGAATAATGTGATTATGGAAAATTGCCGACAAGCCTTTTGGATAATTTTGATCTGCGTCATTTGGAAGGAAAATTGCGTGGTCCGATTGCGACTCTCCTCTGCGAAAGGGGGGGACGTTTGTCAGCTATGAATTCGATCTGGAACGCATCGAAATTGCAGCCCCTACCATAAAATTGATAAATTAATAAAAATATAGAATTGAAACCTGACGCCGAAGCCTATACAGCAAACCATACCTATGTGCCTAATACCGGGGACGCAAGCTCAACAGACAGCTGGGGAAGATGCTGAAGGACGGCCCCGCTGAACCGGCATGTGACGGCTTTACCTCTCCGTGCATTCTGGTGAAAAGGGCCGAGGCTACATCGGACACCGATCAATGGACCTCGCTGAACCGGCGCGTGACGGCTTTACCTCTCGGTGCATTCTGGTGAAAAGGCCGAGGCTACATCGGACACCGATCAGTGGCGTCTCATTCAGTCTTTTGTAAAACTGAACTCGGTGACGGAAGCCTAGTTGACCATTGCCTAACATGCAACACCTTTTGGAAGCGCTTGGGCAGCGA